TATATATATATATATATCTATCTATCTATATCTATATCTATATATGATCCACTGTTGCAGCTTTTTTTACTAGAAACAGCAGAAGACAGTCATCATTTAGAGAACTTGTCCACTGAATATGTTCTCCTCGTCAGTTAAAATGTGTTTTATGAGTTGTGTATGTGTTTATTAAGAGTGCAGTACATGCAGTTTTCAGTACCTGCATTCCCCTTGTTTACATTCATACACTTGTTTATGATTAGATGCAGAATACAATACAGAGTACAGTACGGCTCACTGATTCTTTGACAAGCTATACATTCTTCTTCCAAATAAGAAAAAGAAAGTGTCTTAGTTAGTTGGAGTGAGCATTTGGTGGAAACTTAACAATTATGGTTGCAGTTATACATTCGCTTAATAATGACAATGTAACAAAATAGTTGTGTTTTTATCAGAAGTGTTAATCTGTTAACATGTAACTGTCCACTCTCAATTCCTGGTTTACAAAATTCCGGTTGTGCAGCTTTTGTCATGTTTTACACAGATCCCAGACCAGCTTGTCCATCATCTCAACTTTCAGAGATGATTTCAGGTTTCATTTTGTTGTCTAGATTATGTAATATCATGTTTTAGCACCTACTGTAGTTGCCCTCCTAAGCTAATGGCAACTGGTTGTCCATTTCAACAATGTACCCTGGAGTTAATTTTTTTTAAAGACATTGTAGCACGTTAGGAAAATTATGACAGGTTTTGTTTATTAAAGCTGTATTCACACAGCGTCCTCATCATACTTTCTGGATCAGTCAAACACGAAGCCCAATGTTTTCTGTCTTTTAGGCAAGAAGACCAAAGATGGCCCGTGTCAACCTTTCTATTAATCTGCTTTGTAATTGGTCTGGAGCGAAAATAGCCTTCACCCACGTATCTGAAACCATGTCCTCCTGTGTAGGCACTGTGCTGGAGCGCTGCTGCGCCCGTGTTCCTGGGTTGAAATGAAAGCCCTTTTTCTGATTTAGGAGTCGTTTTCCTCCTCAGTCAACAAACTGTCACAGGAAAGTATGAATTTGTCAGAAGCTTTTTTGCGCTTTGTTTCGGATCTTCCCACTCTAGAATGGAAGTGTCACCTCATGCCATTTGCTGTCAGTCTGTGTGTTTTCATTATTCAGCCAACAACACCCTGGTGGTGTGCCAGCCAACGAGCACAATATCGAGCTCCAAATCTCTTCATCTGTGGTGAAAAAGGGCAAGCTAATACACTGGCTTTAATGCTGGAGGTGCTTTATCTTAGCCCAGACCCAGATATATGGGTTGTGTTGCCCAGTGTGTGTGCGCACTGGCCTATTGTCTGTGGCACAGCTTGTGAGAGGAGACTATTCCTTAAGTGTGTGTGTGCATGGCACGCACATGCGAAAGTGAACAGTGTGTGTGTGTGCGGCTACATAAACCAGCTATGGAGGTCACGGTACAGTATGGTGCCTTCACTCTGACAAGTAAACATGACCTTTGGTGCCACAATGAAAACTGCCATTCTTTATGACCTTGCAGCGTGTTATTGTTTGTGTAATTTTTACTGCCTTATTACTCACTCTTTAAAGTTAAGGTTAGTGGAAATGCTTGTAAGGTTTACGATTTTGTGTTTGGGACTTTTGTGATTTAAACATTAGACATTAAATAAGTCAGAATGGGCCTGAATATTCAGTGTTGTTTTGGTATATTATGTTGATATTATAGCCGATGTTCCCGTTAACCTCAACCAATCATTCTTCTTGTCCTCGGACGTCTTTAGAAGTAAATTGGTGAGTATGTTAAGCATATAGACTGAGAGGGAGTCCATATCATAAGGATCACAACCTTAAGTGTATTGGGGGGGGGGCATTTGTATTCTGCTTACTCTTATTTTTAGAGATTTCTAACATTTCCAGACAGATATGCGCTCCTCCTCACTGGGTGGCTCTGTACCTGACTGTAATGGCGGGTCACTGGCTCCCTTCCACTTGCTATGATTATAATGACCTTGGTGGGGCTGGGGCTTGAAAAACATTGGATTAAGGGGAGAGGAAAATTAGAGGAGGTTTCCATTTCGCTCTTGGCATAAAATTTGTGGGGAATTTCTGCCAAGAATCCTGTCTCCCCCCCCCCCCGCCCCTTTAAGTTGATGGGGCTTGGGTGCTCTGGCGGTGTCGGGCGAGTGGAGCTCAAGCGAATAATGATACACAGGCTTTAACTTAGAAATGAATTAAAGGGCAGGGGAAAGGTGGTGGATACACACTAACGTAGAGCAGAGAAACCCGCTCTCATTGAACATTCAGTGGCCAAACTCATGTCTTTTGTGTTTTTGCTTGATGGTGAATGAAAACCCTGATGTGAATAAACAGGTAGTTGGATGAGGTTCAACGGGCCTGGCTCAGCCTCAGGGTGTGGATCTTATACACAAACGTTAACCTCATTCGCTACTTTAGACAACTGGCCAGGCCGATGAGCACTGGCTGGTTTATCATCATGATATCAGTGATACATTCACAGTTAATTAATAAATGTCACTTCAGAATCAAAAGCTCTGGGTGGGTCTGTATGTTACCCACGAATAACGCGTAAGAGACGTTTTCTCAGAATTGCCTCTTTCACGTTGCCGTTGAATAATTCATTTGAATTTGAGTGCCCATTTATTCTCACATAGCACCTTGTAGTGTCACTGGAGAACTAGGCTAATGCCTGATATTGAATATCGGAGAAGATCCTTGTATGGTGGTGAATATCACAACAACTTTTGTTAAGTGTTGGTTAAGTTGTCGAAAGTGTCCGGTACTTTGTTCATCATTACATTGAACGTAGCTGTTAAAGGAGACTCTACCCGCTTTTATTTCACTCTAGCCAGATTTTCACCGCCCATTCAGGAATTCAAGGCCTCTTTCCTAGTCTTTACGATAGCACAGAGAATATAGCGCTGATGTTGTGCAAACTTCGTCTCTCGTAATTGTCGTGTATCCACTTTGTATTTAAAGCCCCCCTCTAGAGATGTCAAAGCCCAAAACAACTTCCTGGCCTCTAATAACTCGCAGCTCAAAAGTAATGGCATAATAATGTCAGTAAATTTGGATTTCTATGTCAGGACTATAAGTTTAAAGATTCACAACTGTCGTTTCAGGGCCTAGTTTTTGTCAGGGTGATAACCGTATGTGTGTGTGTGTGTGTGTGTATATGTATATGTATATGTATAT